GGGGGGGGGGGGGATGCACGCGCCTCATGCACGCTTTTTTCACGTGCACGCGCATATTTACTACAGGTTTACATGCACGCGGAAACATGTAGTATTATTACTACTCCTGCCTATAAGCATGTTTAGTCCCCCGGGGCACGATGACCTTGCTTCTTGTAGAGTCCAGGATGAAACCTCGTCTCGTCACAGTTATATATCTGACGGGGTTTCTCTGACGGGGTTTCTCCCTCAACCAATTGAGGAGCCCGAAATACTCCTCAATTGGCCCCCTCTTGGCGCAGGATGCCCTCCCACGGTCAATGATGTCTGAGGTCCGGGCAGTAAGGCGATGGTGTTGCCGCTCTCTAAAGTTTATCCACCATGTCTGGCCAAGCACGGTTCTAGGTGCTTCCTGGTGGCGGAGGTTGTAAATGGCCAGAGCGTGGGCCAGGACCTGACGCTTCGTCAGTGGAAATCCGTGACTGGCAGAATACAAACAGTACTCCACCAGGGAATCTTCATCTTCAGGGGTGAGGAGAATCCTCTGACCATAGAGACAGTCAGAGGACACCCTTCCACTGACTCGGTCACTCAGGCTGGACTTCGGAACCCCAAACTGCTGGGCTGCCTGCCGTAGAGAAAGCCTGCCTGTTTTCACCCATGTCTATGCCGTAGAAAGCCAACTCACAACATCACCACTGAGCCTGCCTGCTGAGGAACACCGCCATCTACCCCTGTCTCCTGGTCAGCGCATACCTATTTTGCATTTGAATTCACGTATAAATCAGAATGTATTAACTATTGTGATGCATAAACATTATTATGAGTATGTATTTTAGTGGTGTAACAATAAAATATGGGTTAGGGTTAACCCTAACCCAGAATATGATTATTGTTTCTCTTAAATGATAAAACTCATCAAACACTCAGGAATGATGTAAAAAGTGTTTCGTCTCTCCAGCTCTCTCTGACTTTAATTGCTTTCATCATAAAAGTTATTGAGGGAAATATCAGATCATGAAAAGACAAATCTTTCTAATAAATGAAGAAAGTTGTTTGTGGTCCTTTTGTTGTTCAGTCTACAATAAACATTTTTTTAAACCAGATGGTGAATCAGAAAACTAACCAAATATAAAACTAGAGTTTAATCTGATCTTTCTTCACTCTGGTATGAAACTCCAGTGATATTTAGAAAAATCAGATCAGTCTGATCGGTTAATCACATAACTGATGAACAATGAGGGGGCGTGTCAACTGTTAAAACACTTCCTGGAAGGCTGTTCTTGTGCGTCCTCGCTCATGGCTCCTCAGAGATCCCTCCTCACTCCTCAGAGCAGAAATACGAGCTTTGGGACGGCCGTGAATATGGAAAAGGCGGGACAACTTCCGGTTCAAGCAAGGAGCGAGGAAATGACAAATAAGAGACTTGGGATGTACCCATTAATGACTGGAGGGAGTTGATTCATTTAGGATGACATACAATGCTTACAAAAAGTATTCACCCCCCTTGGATGTTTTCCCCTTTTGTTGCTTTTATACATGAAATCATGGTCAATATAATTTGGCTTTTTTGTCAAGAATTTGCAAAAAAATCTTCTTTTATGTCAAAGTGAAAACAGATTTTTACAAACTAATGTCAATTAATTAAATATAGTGTAAAATAAGTGTTTGCATAAATATTCACCCCTTTAAAACTAAAACATGACCAAACCCTAAAAAAGTTTTAGGGTTTTATACAATCATACAAACCAGAAGTAATTGGAAAATATACACAATTACATTTTGAATTACTTTGATGTAATTCCTACATTAAAAATATTTTCCATTCCATGTCAATTTAGATTAGATTGCATTTAAGGTGCTCCACCAATTAATATTGATGTACTAAAATGTGGATTTATCAGACTCACGGGTTCATGGGTAGAGCCAATAGGAGGAAACCCCCACTGTGCTTTAATCTTCAGACTTCATCCACAAAAGCAGAACATGGAATGTTCCAGGAGAGTTTACAGGCCGGCAGGAAGAAGGGATGAAAAGGATTTACCATCGCACAAACTCAAAATCTGAAAGAAAATATTCATGATTGAATGTGTTTGATGTAAATGTCTGCTATACAACTATTATCCATTTCACATAATTATAGGTTGACTTCATGTCACATTACTCAAATTACAGTTAAGGGGTAAAAAACAACTGTGCTTCAACCAAAAAATCAGAACATAAGAAAATCAAAATCAAAGCGTTGAAGGTTCAGAGGAAACAAACCTCAAAATAAAACAAACTGTAAAGGGTCAACCCTGAAATGGGCACAATAAGGAGGAGCAGCGATGGAATGGAACTATTACTGCATATCAGACAGAAAGCATAATTACATTTCACACCCTCCCATAGCCACTTACTTTTTTTACACTTTCTCATATGTTTATACGATATATAAAGTCTACCAATCCCCCCAAATCAGGATAATTGCAGGCCGAAAAAATTATTTAAAATACGAGTGTCAAATTAGAAAACTCAAAAATCTCATTTAACTTGCAAGATTGTTGCACACACTAACATTGACAACACATGATTTTCCCTGATACTGCTTTCTGAAATAAAGAACATTTAAAATAAGGAGCATAAACAATAGTGAACAGCTAACACTGTTTCAAATAACAAACTAACTTGGGCCAGTTGGCCGCTTACATAATCCAGGAAGCCGCTGCCTTCAATCAGAGCTGAGGGTGGAGAAGACAAAGAGGAGCTCCTCCACAGTTGGGGCTTTCCTTTCCTTCCTTCCTTCCTTTCTTGTTTCCTTTTTTCTGAGAATGGATGCTTAATTGGAGATACCAGTTTCTAAGTGTATCAGTAATAACATTAACATAATTTAGAACGATAAAAATAACACACAGGAAGTCAAACGACCATCATACAAAAGAAAAAGGGAGACTCCTTTAAAATGAGTTGGCTTTCTACGGCATAGACATGGGATAGAAGCAGCAAAGCTGAGCCCTCCATTCAGACTCCCACAGTCTCAAACAGCAACAGCCAAATCTGCTCTTACTTTTGATCTCCATATTCACAAGTCTCTCTCTGTCTCTCAAGATAAGGTGTTGTTGGCTTAATAAGGCTTAGTAGAAGTGAAGGTCTGGGGAGGAGTTGATCCAGCAGAGACATGGTTGGTCCCAGAAGAGTTCGCAAGCCAGCAGGCCGCTGTCTCTAGCAGAGGTTTAGACACCAGGGAGAAGAAAGTGCTGTGGGGGTGAGGTGGGGTTAGAGCTGAAAACTCTCCATGGGTCCCTCCTGTTGCTGGAAGACAAACTGGCCTTGACTTTGGTCCACCTGTGGAGCCAGGCTGGCATCCTCCTCCTCCACACCAAAGTAGTGTTCAATCAGGTCAAAGGCCTTTTGGTAGATCTCCAGGTTCTCGTGGCTCTGCAGGAACTCAATCTTGTCCAAGCCTGAAGAAGTGCACCCACACATACACAGCTCATTCTATTTCTATATTACACTTAACACAACTAAGTGGCAAAGGTACGACAGGATTGACTGAACTGTAGAGTGAGTAATGCCACAACTGTGTCTGAAGCACAAGGCTTTAAAAACAGACTATTTTGAGAAGAATTACATTCCATGGAAGCTACGGTGCACATAGATGATGATGTAGAGGCGATGAACTTTGCTACATTTTTGTGTCACTGCTTACAACAAACAGTGAAGTTGATTTTTGATGTTACTATCAATTTTTGATGTTCCCTTTGTTGCTGTTGTTTACATTATTCTTTATGAAAATTTAAAAAAAATGCACGACTGGGTTTTTTTTAACATGTATTTCTTGTGTAGCAAATGGGCTACAGCATCAACAAATCCAATCAGAAAGCATTTGACAATGTAAACTGCAGCAAAAGATCCATCATTACGTTTAATAATACGAAAGATCCCTAATCCTCATTATGTCCTTATGGCTAAATGTACTGTATAACAGGCAGAAATATCCATGCCATTGAATATATATAGTGGGTATATAGCCAGTCACGTATGAGCTGCTGACGGCAAATATACTGTCCATTGTAATTAACTTGTCTAGTTGTTTCATGCGGGTTGTTGCATTTGTATTCTTGTAGCAAGCAGATGGTTCTGTTGGTCAGCTGGTAGATAGTAGTTAATTGGTGTAAATATTTAGTAAGTACTAATATGCCGTAAGAACGTTAGAAGTGGTTCTGTGGTGCAACCAGCTTTAATTTAGTTAAGCGTGAATTTTGACTTTAGTAAACTCTTCCTTTATAACTAAGTTTGAACTTTCAAACAGCTAGTGCATTATATGAAAGGATGTGCTAATATATTAATATATACTCCTTACACAGCTGTCACCATTTGTGTAAGGAGTTTCATTTTATGTGAGAAGAATGTGACACAGGTTCAATTCAATTTCATTTAAATGTATTTATATAACGTAAAATCTTACCAATCATAATCAGAAAGTATCTGGAGACACTTTTCATACAGAGCAGGTCAAGGCCGTACTACTTTACAGAGAGCCAACATACCCCCATGAGCAGGCATAGGGCAGCAGTGGGGAAAAAAAACCTTGAACAGAACCGAGCTCTGGGTAGACAGTTATCTGTCTCGACCGGTTGGGTTGGGAGGTACGGACAATAACACTACAGCTACAATATTAATAGAAAAATGACAATTAACAATGATAAGTAAATATGTCTTGTGTAAATACATTAAGAGAGTCAGGTTGGCTTTAAATTAAATAAATGCAATTTATGGTGCATTAACAGTAGGGGTGTCAATTTGATTCGATTTTCAATTGAAACTTTTTTTAAGCACCGTCAATTTGAGACTACGACTTCGCCATATGGTCAAAATTAAATCCTCGATTTAATGTGCAATAACAATATATTTCACCAGACAACTGTGAAACAACATAAAGAAGATCCATTAGTTGGCAGGAGGGTACTTTACAACAGCTTGAGTTTCTCAGAGCTTACGACGTACACTTGAATGCACCACGAAATCCTGCTGGTTGCCCACATTCTTTACCATACAAAATGATGTAGACACAATCAATTTTAAGTGGAAATAACACGACCATGGTCGAAATCATCAATCATGAGCGTTTGGTGAAGGGGGGGGTTTAGAGACTGGTTGCTGCAGCCTACAAACAGCTTTATTGATTACATGTCTCACTAGGAAGGCAAAATGTTGCCACACCGTTTGCCTTCGGGGAAGCAGGAGGGTCTTACAGTTCTGTTGCTTCTCAATCATCTCTGACTCAGCCAGTGGCCTTGGTGTCTGGAACAGCAACCGGTAAGCTAGCTGTGTCGTTTTTCAAGTGTGCTTTTTTTGTTTTACGCGCACAAGTAAGCAGGGGGGAGAGAATTAAAAACTGGGACAATCACGAATCCTGCTTTTGAAATAAAAACTGGGACACCCCTAATTTAATTATTAGGGGTGCATAACGTCCGAGTGGAAATCATTTGAAGACATCAAACCTCAGACCTTTGACCTTTAAGCTGCTTGGGAGCATTTTTGGTTCTGTTTAAATGTTTATTATGTGAAATAGTCAGCCATTTCCATAAAAAGGTTTTAACACTGATTCAACTTTTCTTAATGATGAAAGAACTTAAAACATTAAATTCAGGAGACATTCTAGCTGTTCAATTATGTTGTCAATTCATACTTTCAATCGATTTGTGTGATATGTGTCAAAAAGTAAAAACTTTATCAGTTACTGTATTATTTATTTAGTTATCAGTACATGTTTCAACCAGAGACTGTATTTAGCAAGACAACACTTAATTCAGGCTAGTGTAATATTGGACTCTTAGATTTATTATCTGTGACTTCATTTCAGATGTGAGTGGGTACGTTTGCTCAAAAGAGTTGTTCTTTGTCTCTTAGTGGAGCTTCATATTACTGCTTTTAATAATCATCACGGTCTCTGAACATATGAGACATCCTGGTTTTAAACTGCCCGTAGGAAGAATGATCCTATAAGAGTCTGTTCATTATTGGTTAAAGACTCTGGTCTCTCTGGCCACTCTACTCTTTTTGGAGGACGTCATGTGAAATAACTTCTCTGATTCACGTATTCTTTGTGCTCTTTCCTCGTCTCCCCCGTGTGTGTAAATCTCACTCGAGTCGGGAAACTTATCAGAAAACACATATTTGATTGGCTGAGCAGCATCACGTGATGTGACTGACAACGCATGTGATTGGTCGGTGTGTTTCCTGGACCGCTGAGCGAGTGCTGTAAAGGCTGCGCCGGTTAAAATAGAAGCACTCCATCAAAATGTAATAATTCTCAGTTATCAATCGGTTTTTTGGTCAAGGGTCCGGATATAACGGCGTCTGGGTCCGGACCCGGACCGCGGTCTGCCTATTAGTGACCCCTGGTGTAGGGTGTTTGCATGTTAGTTGTGTGATGTGTGGCTGAGCTGTACCATAAGCCTCCTCTATGTGAGCACAGTATGGGTTGATGCCTGTTCCATTCCGTTTGGCCTCCTGTTCTCCCAGTTTGAGTATGTTCTCCAGGCCATTCAGAGACACCTGCACGATCTTTGAGTCCATCACTGTCAGCAGGTCACACATGGGTTTGATGGCATTCAGAGACACCAAATACCTGTCCACACAAAGAGAAATGTTAATCAAATAAACTATTTAAATTCATATTCAATATATTTGTAATGAACTGATTGTTTTATGTTTTGGTTCGTGTAACTATTTTAAAGAACTGTGAGGAACTTTAAACTGGTTTTAAAACAGTCTCAGTTTAATACTGACGACTATATGACCTACAGAAGTAAACGAGACCATCAAAGACAAGATTGTTTATTTCTACATAGTCATTCTTAATGCTTGTCTTGGGGCCACCAAAATCAGATGAAATCATTCACCAGAAACTCCTTCAGCTCAGACTCCTGCAGGGCCTCCAGCAGAGACCAGTCCACCAGGGACAGACCCAGAGGCCAAATCCCAATGTCCCCCCCTTACGGACTCACGGACTTTGGGGCGCGCTCCCGCAAAGTCCGTGAGGGTTTAGGGATGTCCCACTGTCAAATAGTCAAGTGTTTGAGGGCGCTCTCGCAGACATTTTGAGCCCTTTATGAGCCCTTTCCGTAAGTCAGCATGATATGCTGACTTAGCCTAAGGGAATTACCCACAAATCATTGCAGTGTGACGTTAAACACGGGGTAACCAGTGGACCCATGGAGACGTAAAAAAAAAAGGTAAACAAAGAGGACGGCTCACGTGTGTTCAGCCTGTCATATAAAATTTACTCAGAAACATTAAGGATTAAAGATGGAACAAAAAATAAACATGAAATCAGAGGATATTTATTTATTTCATCAAATATTTGATTTTGTCATTGAAGCTGTTTTGACAAAATGAGTAAATAGATTACATGAAGTTACCTCATCTTGTGAGGAAAGAGCCTGAAGACGTTCAAATCAGGGAGTACAAAGTATAAAATAAATACACACAATTATACATCATATTTATTGTCGTTTTCATGGTAACATGATATGTTACAGCAAAGTGCTGTCCCATTCCTATTTACACCATCTCAGGTGACGTCAGTAAATCCTTGAGGGTTCAGGGTTTGAGGGACATTTAGGGGGGGACATTGGGATTTAGCCAGAGTGTTAAAGTCTGGTTAACATACCTTATCTGTGCAGGAGTGCCCCCAGAGGTGGTGTTAGTAATAGTCCACGCTGCCTCTCTCCTTGTGCGGAACTCAGCCTTCTGAAGGATCTCAATCAGTACTGGGAAGATGTTGCCGTCAATGACATTCTGACAAGACAGGAACCGTCAGCTCCAGTGACGCAGAACAGCAGCTATTCTTCAGACAACACATATAACCCAAGTGAAGCAGCCTTTACCTGAATTTGAGCTCTGTTTCCTGCTGTGATGTTTGACACAGTCCAGCACGCCTCTTTCTTGATGGACTCTTTGGGACTGCTGAGGAGGTGGAGTAAACACGGCAGTACTGAGCAGTTCAAGATAACCTGAGATGACAAACATACATAAGATGGCTACATTTAATACTGTATTTTATCTCTTACAAATGAATCATTGAAGAAATAAAGTGAGGGAACCAGTGTCTACAGTAATTGTAGTGATTGAGCCTCTACCTGAGTCTGGATGTCATCTCCTGTTACAATGTTGCCCACCGCACGTAGAGCAGGAGAAACAACTTTATAATCACTGTGCCTATGCCAAACACAAAGAAACATTCACACAGCGTAGTGTTGAGATTATAGCAAAAGCTACTGATGGTGAGAATTTTGTCCTGATATTAAATTTCTTAGAAGTTGACAGTTTTCACACCAAAACATTGATGAACTGAAACTATTCTTCAATAGTTCAAATAAAGATGTTCAGTTTTGTCCAATAATAAACACTTGTACTCTGCAAGAATCTGCTCAAAACAGTGCTTTAAATAATTCAGGTTGGGGCCTTTCCACTAACAAGAACAACAGGACCAATCAATTGACAAAAATCAGCACACCATCAATTTCAACTTACAACCATTGCACGGTGGCCACAAAAATGATGTAAAGGACAGACCACACTGATCAAGCACGAATCTCCTTTGCTGCTTGTTCAGGTAGCCAGAAGAAAATCCTAAGTATGCACATGGATGTTATTTATTTATGCATGTATTTATACAAATTATTGTAGATATTGATGTTATAGAATGTTATAGATATTGTAAAAGGTCATCGTCACGTCATTTCCCGTGTAGGTTTATTTGAAGCCGATACCTCTCCTTGTTGCTCTGTCCCCTTTGCTGCTGTAAGACTGCAAATGTCATCGTGGGACCAAAGGATTATCTCATCTTCAACTTGGACATCCGGGGAGAAGATTACTTCATTGCCAAGGTTTATCTGATAAATATTAAGTTATTTGACTTATGGAGTAGTGGTATTTGTGTGTATTTCTTCCTACTTCTTTTTAATATATATTTATGTTGTGTATGATGATTTGTTTATTGATAGTTTGCTATATTTACAGTTTTTTTTACTCATTTGTCACGTTTGAAATAAATAAATAAATTCAAATTAAATTAAACAGTTGTCACTGTCCACTGTAACGGTAAAAATATGTGTTAACATGTTCTCTGCATAAAGTCTCTGTATGACACATCAGCATAAGCGTGAGAGGAAGCGCCTGTTGTCACTTGATATCTCCATGTAAGGTTTTAGCATAGGTCAGGCACTTGCTTTGTCATATAAGGCAATGGCATGAGACAAAACACCTTCCTCTTAATGTAAAGGAAATGTACCAGACAACTGATGCACACATATGACTTGCCCCCCTCTTTCTGTCACCTTTTGTGTCTTCTAAGCTAAAATATGAAGAACAGGAAACCGTCTTAGGGTATAAATAAACATGTACGGAGAACTGATCTCGGAAGCTCACTCACAGTTACTGCAATACGTGGCTGTGAATCTGCTCTCCTTGCTTGCAACGCAATAAATTGACATTACAACTTTGATCATTCATCAAGACTCTGTTTATTTGATATTGATTGAAAACCTTCACACTCTTCTCTCCGAATAGTCATAGAAATATTCCACAACAACTTGGCGTCACGAACAGGATACGTTGAAAGTCCGTCAGGACTCCGAAGGACGTCCGGTGAAAAGGCCTTTCCAGGATCCCAAAAGACGATCTTGTCTCAATACCTCATCAGACACAGAGAGAGAGAACGGGCGACCCGAGGAGGCCTGACTGACTTCAAAAGTATCCAGACAACGAATTAATTCCTGCACTTCGGGTAAGAAGTTGAAATTCCAATTATAACATTATAACGTAAAAAGAAAAAAACGTAAAAAGAAACAGATGAATGATCACGTAGTCGTAATTGTTTGGGGAATACAATTGTTTTTAACATTTGTATATTTGTTTTATTTTTTCTTTGTTTAAAAATCCATTAGTATTTCTGGGGCATCGTTTCACGTGTTTTACGTAGAAGACAGGATTGTGTTCTACGGTGAAGATTTAACTCAGACTAAAAACATTTTGAGATCGTAACACAGATCACTTGACTACACAAATAAGTTTGAAATAAGACCGTTATTAACTTAACGTGAATTTCAAATAAGGTTTGAAATAAGACCGTTGTTATTTAACTTAACGTGAATTTCAAATAAGATTTTTGCAAAGTTTTCCCTTCAGTAAAGAAACTAAGACTTACGCGATGACTGTATTTTATTCAAGATAAACGTTAACGATTCCACAACCTGAAAGATGGGTGGAAGGCAGACTAAACAAACGGAACCCGCGGGTCCGATAGTGGAACTGATGCAACAGAAATATGGAAATGCAAACTAAACTAAACTTAAAATGTTACGAGGGGATTTAGAAGGAAAATTGAAAGAAATGAAAAGTGGTAAAAAATTCAAAATCAGAGACTTGGAAATGATAGAAAAGAACCAGCAATGTCTGGCTCAATGGGAAATGGAATGTGAATGTAGGGAAAGAAAACAAATGATGAAACAGATGACGTGTTTAAAAGAAGAAAAACTGATTCCAGACACACAGAATAACCCATTCTTGTCTCCTTCTCCTATGTATCCGAGTCTAACAGGAGCGGGCAGTCCTCTCCTTAACACATGCTATCAAGCTTCCCCACAACGAGTCCAACAACTTGACATCCACCCACTTCCTCCTCCGCCATATTCTGGTCCAACTGCGGGCAGACGAGAGACCCGCCTCCACACTGACCAGCGAAACATAGCTCAACAGAGCAATGCTGACTACAGAGCATCTCCGGCCTCACCAGCCTCACCATCCAACCCATTCGCGACCCATCCTCAGACCATGACCACGCCTCAACCCCAGCCTTCAGCGTCATGGGCTGACCCATTCACATGGAGTGGAACTGCCGGCAGACTCGCTGATTTTTTCAGCCCTAACACCTCCATGAACTCTGGCACTGACGAAACCGTTTTCACAGCCCCGATGATCCAAGTACCAGGGGACAATGGTGCTCAAGGTCTCGTGTTCAGAGCCTGGATCCAAACTGACAGTCTACAAGCTGCATCACACCTGCCTGACATCAACATTGGTTCAACTTTTGCAAAAGACTTCCTGATATTCTGCAAAGAATTCATGCCCACGGGTCCAGAAGTCCACCGGTTGCTGGTCAAACATGTTGGCCCAACTGACTTCAGCAAAATGAGAACCGTTGTCACCGGACCAGGGCATGACTCCCGCCAACTATTAAATTAGTTGTGGAAGTGAAAGAATTAATCTTTTTGGTAGACTCGGGAGCTACTCATTCTGTAATTCAGCAAAAACATTTTCCTAAACAGCATATGAGTGGTCGTTTGGTTTATTCTCAAGGGGCTTCGGGATTGACTGTAACAGAAAAATTCACGGTTCCTATGACGAGTGTACACACTGACCAGACTGACTCAGAACCTGACATTAAAGTGAAACATTCGTTTCTACTTTCAACCTTCTGTCCCATTAATCTAATGGGCAGAGACTTAATGTGCTCATTTGGCATATGTTTGACATCTTCAGAAGGCTTAAAAGTGACTAGGCGTAGAGTCATACACCAAATGATGCAGCAGACTCCCCTCAGTCCATACCTCTTTTTGCCTACCAATGGTGGCTTCCTATTGATGACGCACGTCTACTTAGTCACGCAATAGACGCACGTGTCTCACCACATGCAGAACGCATGAATCCAAAACATCTTCATTGCACCTCACATGTCTCTTGGGGTCCAGACGACCCCCATGAAGACGCATTTTTTGAAGGCATCAATGATGCGATAGTATGCTCTACTTTGTTTTGGTCGACTTACAAATCTGCTGTATCTGTCTCTCTTTCTCCAACACAGAAAGAATTGTTTCAAGTTGCCGACTATTTCCCTCACATCTCGCTGTCCAAAGGACGCACTGATCAATGGCGAGACTTGGGACCATTCGTTGCACAATGCAAGGCGCTAACTGACTGGGAAAGAACGTGTGATCCCCTGGTTTTGCGCTCCAAGTCAACAGGGTTCCACAGATGTTTTTGTGTACTCTTAACACCTGCCTGCAGATCAGTCTATGTGTTTTATGAGAAAGACAATGACAGAGTCAAAACCTTTGTAACTAATCCAACGTCAATTTCTCCCGCCCTCACTTCTGTTCCACAGACACTCTGGGCGGCGCACAAATATGACGTAGGCCTGATCAACTGTCAACCGGTCATCATCACCCCACGCTCTGACTTCCGCCCCCACAAACACCAGTACCCTCTGCGACAAGAGGCCATTGATGGTATTACACCAGTGTTTGACTCACTCCTGAAAGCAGGCGTGATTATTCCATGTCCAGACTCACCGGTCAGGACACCAATATTTCCTGTTAAAAAGATCAGAGATGCAGGCAAACCTACTGAATGGCGTTTCGTGCAAGATCTTAAAGCAGTAAATGCTGCAGTTCATGCACGTGCACCAAATGTGCTTAATCCTTACACTATTCTAGCTCAGATTCCTCCTGAAGCTAAATGGTTCTCTGTGGTTGATCTGTCAAATGCTTTTTTCAGCGTCCCAGTCGACAAAGACAGTCAATTTTGGTTCGCTTTCAACTTCAACGGTAAGCCATACACCTTCAAAGACTGTGTCAAGGCTACACCGAATCACCGACAATCTACAATGATGCACTCAGAGAAAGCTTAGAAAGTCTAACCAGGCTCTGCACTTCTGCAGTATGTTGACGACTGCCTTATCGCAGCTCCTACTAAAGCACAGTGCCAGAAAGACACAATTAAATTGCTACAACACCTAGCACAAGAAGGCCACAAGGCAAGCCTATCTAAATTACAGTTTGTAATGCAAAATGTACATTTTCTAGGTCATGACATTTCAGGGGAAGGGAAAACCCTCTCACCTAAAAGAATCGCTTCAATCGTGTCGATACCAAAACCTAACACTAAAAAACAGATGATGTCCTTTTTAGGCATGTGTTCATACTGTCGGTCGTTCATACCCAACTACTCACAAATGGAGCAGCCATTATCAAGTTTGATTCACGGTAAAAATCTCACCGCACATGACAAAATAATTTGGACTAAAGAGGGTCATTCTGCCTTCACACAAATGAAATGTGCTTTACAAACACCACCAACTCTAGGGTTGCCAGATCCTAACAAACCGTTCACTCAAACTGTAGATGAAAGACAGGGCTGCATGACCTCAGTGTTGCTAC